ATGTGTTATAAATTCTTCATTTATTACAGCTAAGAAGAGAAAAAACCATAGGCAGAGCCTATTAGATCTCTGCTGCAGAGATCTGAGTAACATGATGCTTCAGAGAGGACAAGACTGAAGAACAGCTCCACAGGGGAGGGGGGTTGGATGTTTTTCAATATGGTGTCACTCTGGTTCTCTAAAACTGTGTTTTTAAAGAGCAGTGGGATTGTTGGAATGGAAGTCTCTCCAGGCAGAGTCCAATCTGACATGAGGGTTCCTTTTTTATCAGCTTTATAGCTGAACGTCTGTACATAGTCTGTGCTTGTAAGGATACAAATTATGATTAGGGCAAACTATGGAGATATTAATTTCAGAGAGATAAATGTGTCATTATGAGGCCAGTAATAGAAAGAAATCTATATGTTGGTGAAGACTCTTAAAAAAACCTAAAGGAGTGCAAAAAACGGAATTGTTTCTAATAGACAACAAATAGACAATACTGATAATCATACACAGTCCCTAGGTGTGTTAGTTTGGTTTTTTTGTTTTTGTTTTTTTCTTAGATTGGTGCTGTGCTTGGTTTTGTTTCCAATAAAACAGAGAAGGTTAAATTAGAGCTTCAGTATAGCTAAAGATATGAGAAGCAAGGTAGGCAGCATTGTCTCAGCTGTTAAGGCACTCTTTTACATGACTGAAAGATACTGTGATACCATCTCCTTATAAGCTTTGCATCAAAAATCTATTTATGAAACACTCTCATTTTTGCTTTTCTTGATAGTAAGAATGTGAGTTATCTCTCTTGAATGACAGGTTATATAGTTGAGGAGCTTTTCTCTGTAGTAGGTATGGATTTCTCTATTTTCATAAATGAGGCTCAGATGTATGTAGCCATATAATATGCTGCTGCTGGCAGTAGAAATCAAGCTACAGTATTCCTCTTTTCCTTATTTAATCATGTAATTTCCTTTCTATACTTCAAAGAAAGAGATCAAGGCACACAGGAGCAAGAACCAGGCAGAACTGGGAAATCAATCAAACAATTTAAGGAACTGCTTTGTGGAGCTGGAAAAGTAAAATCCATAGATGTTTACCAAATTGGCCTTAATAACAGGCAGCAGGGAGATATATATATCCCACTTTTACATGAGCATTAACAAGGCACTTGAAGCCCACTGTATCACAGAATACACACAGCTCCAGCAGTCTGGTAAAGTATGTCCTTCAAACCCTGTGTTGTGGATGGTTTTGTACTGCCAGAGCTGATCAATTTGTGCCAAAAAATATGACATAATAAATGGGCCACAGCATTACTTTAGGAAAGAGAAGTGAGCTGGGCTATTGTGGTTCCAGCCAGGACAGGGTTAATTCTTGCAGTAGCTGGGAGGAGGCCTGACTGTGGCCCAGAGGTTATTCTCCACCACCTCACATCATTGCTGGGTGAGGGGGTCTTGGGGGTCTCTGTGGTCAGGATGACCCTGAGATGTGTTAGAGAGTATCTTTTCCTAGCCCAGACACCCAAGAAGGAGCCAGGATTATTCTGTTGTGGTTTTCAAGGTTGTTTATTTTCTATTATCTATAACATTCATTCTCTGACCTGCTGAGGTCTGTCTGGGGCAGGTCACTGACTGACTGCCCCAGAGGAGGTGTTATCTTTTTATACTAAGAACTACGTGTACATTATTTACAATAATTTTCCAATACCCATCACCTATGTTAGACAGATTGCCTCTGCCCTAAACCAATTCAAAAGTGCCACCATCACCCAGAAGATAGAGGCTAGGAAGAAGGAGAAAGAAGGACAAGGCATGCCCAAATCCCTCCATCTTGGGACCCCCAGCCCCCATTCTAAAAACCCCAAAATTCTACTTTTCACCCTGTGACAAACTAGCTATCATTATACTTAAACTTTCATGGCTTGCAGATCCTCATATAAGGTTGGTAATTTTTTACATGGGTCAAAATCAAAGGCACAGGGGTCTTGGGCTCTGTGCCAAGGTCTCTGAGCCCACCCCTCCAAATTGCTATAAATTTTAAATTAAGGGGCTCTCAGGCAAAAAATATGGGAGCAGGAAATAACAGTTCTTTAATAGGGAAGATAAATAAAAAGATAAAATGAACAATGCAGTACACTAGAACAACACTGACAGAGTCAGAACACAACCTGACACCCCGTGGGTCAGGGTGTTGGTAGCAGTCTAATTGGAATTGTGGCTGCAGCCCTCCTGGAGTGTCAGGTGTGGTTCTGTTGGAGCAAGGGGGTCCTGTAGAGAAGGATGTATTCTTCCTCTGAAGATCCCATGGAAGAGGAGACAGCTGCTGTTCCTCTTGGGAATCCAGTGGAGAAGCCATGCTGGTGTCTGAAAACCTCTGGATTATATCTGGGTAGGAATGCTTGGCTCCTCCTTCTGGGCAGAGCATCTCCCAATGGGATGTTATAGTTCTTATCAGTCATGCAGTGACATTCAATAGTCTGTTATCAGCAATGTCCCCTCCCGAGGGAGGAGGGATTGTGATCATTCAGAGAGAGATAAGGCAAACTGCCCACTTGACAAAAGATAATCTGCCATACAGATGGTAATAGAAAACATCTTGCCTTGCAATCTGGAACAAAGCACTCACATACATTTCCACTTCCATTTTCCATCCCAGCTTACCTCCATGGAAAATACATCTGCAGTCTAATTTTATTTATTTGTTTTACATTTTGACGAGCCTTTTGGTAATGTGTTCTTACCATTTCTTCCCATTTTGTCTTCCCTGCCTCTGGATTTCTTTTCTATGAATTAAATGAATCTTTGTCCTGAAGATTTTATGTAGGAAGGTCACACATCAGCATAATTGTATACAGGACTCTCAATATTAATTCAACCCTCCATAACTGATTTTAAAACAAACCATCAGCATGATCCTTCATCCAGAATGGCTAGGAACAGTGCTAAATTGAATTTATATCATACATGATATGAACCACCTGTGGGTTGGGAAAAATGTAGCACAAATTGAAAATAATTAAACAAATGTTTTCTGTTGTGAATGGATCAGACTGGTTTTACAATCTGGAAGTTTTTAGGTGTGTGAGTTGCTGCCTATCAGTATGCTGTGGCTAACCATGCAGAATAAAGTATGGAAGCCATAAAATTTAATTTACTTAAACCCAAAAATCTTCCAATCTTTTAGCTTCTTATCCAACTTATCCAATTAGAGTGCAATTTTTTTTTTTTTTTGGGATTCTTGGGTAAAGTTTTGTGAAGTTTTCTACAGCACAGGAAACAGAGAAGCTCAGCAGTTTGGAATGGTCAGGTGAAGCACACTCTTTGTTTTATATTCCACATTATGCAAAGCTCTCCCAGAAAACTTAATTGCAAATATTCAGACAGATTTTCTTTAGCAGCTTTGGGGTAATTTCAGTCACTGACTACAAAGGCTTCTGGATCAAATCCTTCATTTTCATTACTCAGATTCAGATGCAAAGTGCATGATCTGAAACTTTATCAGAACACTTTCATGTGATGTCTTGAAGTATTTAATTAAGTTTTCAATTAATCATTATTTGAATGTTGGCCCTCCTGCTGCTGAAATATATTTGATTAATAATTAGGCCACATTTAAACCTACATTAGTGAACGTACATTAAGCTTTTAATAAAAGAAAACTCCACAAGCGTTGCATTCAGACCCTGCATATGGGATGAAAAGGACTCCTCAGATTAGGTGACTCTACTTAGGAGAATGCTATTTCAATTTAGTTAAATTCAATTATAGTTGTGCTGAAACTGGGTACATATCACTCCATGCAAAACGAGCTGAATTTGAGAAAGATCCTTTCTTCTTCACACACGTTTTTTATTCCCTCACATACATTCTAAATTTTATAAAAAGAATTATAGAAAGACATTGTTTCCAACAGGGAGTGATTTACATTATTTGCTTTGATGTTGTGATCTTTACTGCTAATGTCTCTCCTCTTATTACTGATATGCTTTTCAATCCAATACAAGATAGAAATGTCTTAAAATTAGAGGCCTTGAATATTCTAGTGTGTGCCAATTTCCCCCTTTCAGAACATTCTTAAAAAAGTGATGCAGGAAGGAACAAAATTATGGTCATTTTCAGATAGCCCTTACAATAATGTGAGAATAATTGCCTAAACCTATTGTACCAAAAGCCATCACAATTATGCTGGTCAAATATGAAGGAAAAAGGATGAAATTGAAAAAAGCCCATGTATTGGTAGGGAAATTTCCAGTACTAATCTTGAAAGCTAGTAAGTCACCTGAAAACAAAATCCAAAGGTTTCTCCTGGCTTTCGTATAACATCTGTGCTTTGGGGGTTGTTTTACTTGCACTTTGCTTTTTGCTAAATTCCATATTATTAAAATTTAAATAAGAAAAACTGATTGAAATATTGCCAAAAATCTTGTTAAGTGGAATACCCGAAAAGCTATTGTAGCCCTAGAAGAGCATAAAGACACATGTAACCTCATGGATCCTCATCTGTTTTATATAGAAGGATGTGCCCAAACTTACTAACAATGCAATCATTTGCAACATTTTGCAACATTTTTTTGCAACAGTTTTCCTTATTAGCACCTATTAGGTATTTGAAGGCAAAGTTGTATCAAGTTCATCTCACAAAAATATATTTATCAATTAACTCAGTGCATTTCCCGAAGTTCTGAGCATTGAAAAGGGTTCAAATTGCTTACTAAAATTTCCAGACTTATTTCTTACCTTTAAAGATATGTTTAGAAAAAAAAAAAAAAAGAAAAAAATTCAATCCATTGACACGGTCACTCTACAAAAAAAAAAAATTCTTTCTGATTATATTTGCTTTACCTATTTTTTTTCATTCCCAGAGCCTTTTTTCTCATGGGTATAACATAGTTAATCAATTGAGCATACTAGCTAGAAAAATTGTGGGTATGACTGCGACACTATTGGAAAGACAATGAGCAGTATGGTAAATATGTGACTGCAGCAAAAACCCATCCTTTAATTTATTTTTTTTTAAATCTTACAGAATATATTTTTCAACACAGCAATATGTGATTCTAAAGGTTATGAAAAAGAAGGACAATGTCCAGGATGTTATATGAACCGTAAGGTGACTTAAGTTCTTTTCAGCTGCTTGTTCCTATCTTAATATTCATTAATACTGATTTTCTTCAGAGTATTCGCATTCAACACAGGCAAAGGGGTGGCAAGATTTCCCACACCATCATGCCAGCACTGGAAAATTGTACAGTTTGAATTTTAAAGATTTTGAATGTACTCCATGTTGCTGCAGCCTAATGTCTATAGGCAATTCAGGATCACCTTTTTGTTTTTTCCTTTCGTAATATTTCTGCTAGTATGCAAGTGAATGTGTGAAATGAAGCTAAATAGGTGAATGTATCAGAATAGTGTCATGTTTAGATACTCATATAAACATATGTAATGTGGGAATTTAGGACCTGATTATTTTCTGGATAGATAATGCAGGGTTTCTGTTTCTTATTTGATCGTGATCATCCTTATAGTTCAAGATTTTATCTGGGCTGATTATCATAAATATATTCCTTGATGTAATAAAGTAATGTTTTAAGTAGGAAAGCAACTTATGAAATATTTAAAGCTGTTAAAACATCTCCTGGACTTTGAAACACTTAAACACAGATCCATAGATTAAGGATATGATGCTACAGCTTGTTTAATTCACTCTTTGAGAGTGAAATCATCCAATTTCTGCACAATTCTTGAAACCCAAGTGCATACTTTGTGCAGGATATGAGAAAGGAGAAAAAGGAGAAGGTTTCATTTTTGTTATCAGAAATCTTGGATGAAAAGAAATTAGAATTTTATTTTATTTAATGTCTGGTTTGGGCTAATAGTCAGACACAGAATGCTCAGAAGGACTGTGAATGGTCATTCTTGTCTTTGTTTTCTAGGATGGAAATGGAAGTCAAGCAAGCAAATATACCTGTTTAGTGATGATGAGACCACAGAAGAGATCATAATGGATAATTTGACCAGAAAAAAGAATACAAGTACAATTTTTTAAAAAAATGTATAATTTTTATAAAAGCTTTATAATTCTATTGTTGTACTGAAGTAGCATGGCTGTCATGTGAAATTATGTCCATGAAATTAGGTCTAGGCTGTCTATTAAGTTCTGTTGAAATGAAGTTTATTAGATGAAGAGTTTTGGTTTAGAAAGGCTAAAAATGGGTACTGATCCATCTGTCAATTGGTCAGAACAAACAGTTTATTTCACACTTATATCTTCCTCCTATGCTCAGAAATTGGAAACAAAGTAATTTTCTGTCTGGTGCCATTTGAATCTGAGCCTATGTACTCTGTGCTGTGTGTACAGCTGACATTGTTTTACCTTGTGTAAATCATTAATCATTGTCTGAAATGATATCAGGACTCTTACCTTCCTCATTCATGATATTTTTTGTTCCGAATATTTTTCTCTAAAATTAATGTCACATTCAGAAAATTTAAAACCTTGTTGGATTTTTTTTTTTTAATGCAAGATTAAAAGAAAAACAGGACAGTGAAGTGTGAACCAGTACAGGCTACACTACATCCTCCAGATTGAACATCTTTCTTCTGTTTTGGTTTTTTACACTCACCAGCAGGATGAAGATCTGTTTCTTTAGCAGTCTTGTGGAAAGTGTCCTTATTGCTTTTATAGGATTTAAGGAAGTGTCAGTTGTCTTGCTTCAGCTCAGGAGGGCTTTTTGCTTATTTTTTTTTTTTTAGTTTGACTGCTGAATGGAAAGAAAAGAATTTACACAGATAGAAGAATTTGTTACCACAATTAGTTGCTTATATTTCCTAACAAAATGCAAAACCAATGCACATTTAGATGGTGAGATAAAAAATATTTCTTTAACTTTAATTCCAGTTTCCTGTATTTCAGTTTGTGTTTTAGTATGCCCAGTTCTTGTTATCCCAATGCAGAGCCTGAGACCACAAGTAAGGTCTCAAAGACCCAGCTGTTGTCTCAAGGGACCAAATAGATAACTGATGGTTGAACAAGTGACATCAAAAAGCTGGGAAAGGAAGAGATGAGGATTCTACTTAGAGTGGTAAAGCAGTGGGAAATTTTTTTGACGATTGAGCATTTTGGATGAAGAATATTTACCTGTTCTTCCATAAACACACTGAAACATTCAGATCCAGTCACTTCTATATTTGAATAAATTTTGGGTTAGCTCTTTAATACACTAAAATGAATTAACAGGAAAGATGGTCTTGTATAATACGACATAAAATATTTCTAAGTAGTAGGTTTTTCCCTCAGGAAAGAGCTGAAAGGATTATTTAAAAGAGATAAAAACACTCTGAGAGTCATGAAAGAGAAATTTGAGGAAAGAACTTCTTTAAAATAAGGATGGAAGAGCAAATGCAATACAGGTATCTGTTTTCTTCACCCAAATCAGTTAATATTCCACTCTTTTACTCTTCCAGACTACTGATCAAACTGTAAAGTATAGAAATTGATCTGGCTGTATGAGATATTCTGAATCTGCTGTGTTAGTTACGCTGTGTGGCAGGATTCACCTGGAGAATGCAAGTGCTGTAGGTCAGATGGAAAGTGATCTAAACTTTAGATGAGTTCTGGTAGCCAAGAGATTTCCCTCACTTCTTGTGAGGGAAGCCTGCTGGATTAGCAGTGTCTTCAGCAGATAAGAGCATGATTTCCTGCTGAGCATTTCCTGCCAGCTGGTGTTCTGTGGCAGTGGTATATCCACCAAGAGGGACTGCATTTGATTGTGTGGTATCTGGATGGAATGGGCTTCAGAGTCGGGGCTCCCACACCCTGAAGTTGTGATCTGTCTGTGCTTTCTGCCAGCGTCATGCCAGGGGCCTAAGTCTGAATAAAAGCTATGGAAAACAACAGTTGCATGCTGCCAGCTATGCTTTCCTTCTTCTAAGAGAGGCTTGTGCATTTATCTCAGTCTGTTTTTTGAGTAACAAGTGCATGGAAATTGGTCACAATATTTATAGATAAATCTGTTCCATGTGCTGCAGATCTCCTGTAATATCACTTAAAATTTATTGAACAGCTTGAGGCATCTGATTAACTGCCTGATATTTACTTTTAGGTTCACTGGCCTGATAGCCAAATCTTTGGGTGGGAATTCTGAAAGTACTAGCATTAATTGCTGGGATACTATTGACCTCTAATGGGAGGTAGGTGCACATTGTCTCTGTGTTGTCACAGCATTAGCCACTAGGTATGAAAGGTACTAAGAAAATGATCAGCTGATCAGTTAACTCATGGCAGTAGGAAATACTTCTTTGGAAGTGTGGATGAGATGATAAATTTATGTAAGAAAGAGCTCTTCAAGAAAACCAAGAAGTGAACAAGTTTTACTTGTCGCAAGTAAACGTTTCTCTTTCAGAGGTGGAACAGCGTCTCCTGTGAAGGCCCTCCTTAGGGCACAGTATTTCAGACAACACGATCAAGATGTCACCAAGGCATTTTCCCAGTTAGGAGCACTGTGATAAACAGTAACAGGGCAAACTAACATGTATATCCAATTGTGCAGCTATATTGTAGAAGTCAGAAGATGGCAGTCTTTGCTCACTGTTGAAATTGATGCCTAGCTAATCCTAAAAACACCTGAGTACTGAATAACAAAATGAATATGCATCTCTCTGTGTATTTTTAGTTGTTAAAATTTAATTTCAAGTGCATCTTGATAATGTAAAAAATGTTAGCTCTTTTTTTTTTCCTCGGAAATCATTCGTGTTGATGGCAATCAAAATATTTGTTTATATTCACTAATCCAAACAAGAAAAGAAAAGCATTTTTTAGTGTAAAAATGCTCTAAACACTGTCTGAGACAGCTAAGAAAGGCATAGGTGAGCACAGAAAAATGTGTCCAAAAGGAGGATTGACAGAGGCTTCTCTGTAACTGTGTACACCTGTAGGCATCTAAACCTCAGCATCCAATTACATTCTGCTTCTGTCCAGGTCACAGGTCTCCTCATATGAGTAGCAAAGAAGGGAATAAATTTTCAAGCCACACAGGGATCCAGGAATTAGAAAGAAATGGGTCACTATTCCCCAAAGGCTTGGTCCAATAGGCAAATGTTGAACATTCCTGGTATGCACAGTAGCGTCTGTACTGCTCAGTATATCCCACTGATCAGGGCACATCAATTTGCAAATTTATACTGAAGTCTTCCTGACACGAAGGGAGACTGAGCTTTTATCTTACCTGTTCCTGGTTGCAAAGCATGGAAGTGCAAGCAGTTTTACCCCTGCTGGTAAAAGCACTCCATCATCATTAGGAATTTTTGTTCACATCTCACATGAAAGCAAAAAAAACATCTTAGTTTAGAAAATTCTTACTTTGATGGTACAAAATGCATACATTTCTTGCAACAATCTTTGGAAAGAAAGAAATCACCCCATCACCTGTGGCATTGGAGTCCCTGGGTTGATAGACAGGGACCTGCACCTATCACATTCCATCCTGGAATTCCATCCTGGGCTGCAGGTATCTCCTTAGTCAGGAGGTGGGCTGTGTGAGGATCAGACCAATGAGCTGTCTAGACCTGGAAGTTTTGGACTCCCTATAAAAGTAAGCTCTGAACAATAAAACACACTGTTTGTCACATAAAGATCTGGTGTGTGTGCGTGTGTTGTCCCTGTCTCCGACCACCAACTCCATGGAACACGTGGATATTAAACATGATAATTTCCCAAGGACCTTATCCAGTAGGACATACAGACACAGCAATTTTCCAACGTACTTCTGGAACAGAAATTTTGAATTTTGAATTTTTTGCTTTCTTGGCAGGTGCCATGGTTTAATCAAATCAAAACACAGCCCTGTACTGACCACTATGAACAAAATTATCTTTCCCCCAGCCAAAACCAGCACAGCAGACAGCAAGGTGTATCCTGCTCTTGAATAGCTGATAGTCTCTCCTGTAAATAGTTTGATGCAATTGGGAAGGAACTAGAATTTGGATGTCTTGTATTTTGGTGAGTGTCCTGACCATAAGTCTGCTGCAGCCCAATGTTTCCTCTTACCATTCTAGAAAGCCTTTGTCAGGTATATGTAAAAAAACCCTTCACTTTTTATGGAAGGACTAACAATTTGAACACTGGGGGGCTCTGTAAGTCCCTTACAAGAGACATTGTTTGCCAACACCAGTGATTTAGTGTTGGAGCTTTCCTTTTGGGCACAAATTAATTTTGTGTGTGTACTAGGAATCTCACAGCATCCCTTCAGGAGCATCATGGATGAGCTGTAAACATTTTCCTTCCTGGGAGAACTGAGGTTGGAGGGATGCTTGACTTCCTCAAACACAGAAGGGATGTGTCTGAAAGCCCTACTCATGTTTCAGGAAAGCAAAGATCTTCCACAGGCAGTTGTCTGCACTGATTTGGCCTCACCTTGAATATCATATGCAGTTTCAGTCACCACAATATAAGAAAGATATTAAATTACTACAGACGACCCAAAGTAGAATAATAAAGATGTTGAAGGGTATGGAGGGGAAGCTCTGTGAGGACCAGCTGAGGTCACCTTGGCTGTTCAGCCTGGAGGAGAGGAGGCTGAGAGATGACCTCATTGCTGTTTGCAGCTTCCTCTTCAGGGGGACTGGAGGGGCAGATGTATCTCTGCTCCCTGGTGACCAGTGATGAGACCCAAAGAAATGGCTGGACTGATGTCAGGGGAGGCTTAGGCTGGATATTAGAAAAAAGTTCTTCACCCAGAGCGTGGATGGCCATTGGAGCAGCCTCCTCAGGGAGTGGTCACAACCCCAGTCCTGACAGAGTTCAAGGAGTGTTTGGACAATGCTCTCAGGCACATGGTGTGACTCCTGGGGATGGTGCTGTGCAGGGCTGGGAGCTGGACTGGTGATCCATGTGGGTGTCTTCCAGCTCAGCTTATTCTGTGATCCTGAGAACCTGGGCCATCCATACAAGCTTCACTGCTAGTCAAGATGTGATGTGGATATCGAGCCCTGGGATCACCATGAGCTGCATCACATTCAACTTCAGTCCTTCACTCTTGTGCCTCACCTGTCAGTGACATATATGTATCTGTCCTCCTGAAAACAGTTGTTTTCCTGCTCTTTTATTAAAGCATTTTAATCTCAACTAGCATTCTTTCTATCTGTCATACAGAATGTTTTATTTTCTCATTACTGACTATAAAAAGGCAAGCGTACAGCAAAACTTGGTTCTGTATTCATTTCTGGCAGCCAATCATTTAAACTTAGGTTTAAAAATTTGTAAATTTGAAAATATTTTTGATTCTGGTCCCAGTTAATATGAGCCAAATAGCAATTTCTCTACTTTGTTACTTCATTTCTATCAAGACTTGATTACGAGCTAAGCTTTACATACATGAAGACTTCTTATATGGTAAGTTAAATGGGATA